ATGGAATTTAAAAGTAAAGCACGCGATCAGATTGAACGGAAATAATTATATCAATACTCTGATATTTGCTGATAACCAATTTATTAAGAAAGTAAAGAATTTAGTAAGAAAAGGAAATTGATGGATAGCACTCCATCAATTAAATCTGACGAGTAAAAACTATAACATGAAAATATCAAAGTAAGAAACGAAGGTCATTGCTCATAAAGAAGTTTATCCAATTACAACAAATATGTGCCTGGAAAACCAAATAGAACAAGTATCACCGGGATGAGATATAAGTTACAACCGGAGCCAAGATATATTAAAAAATGCACAAGTTCCAATACATTTATAGCGACGCAGATATGCAGAACATTAAGAAATAATACTAGAAAAGATACAATATTAAAATTCAATAAAAACAATGGCAACACTAGTACACCTATATGGGAGAGAAAACTGAATTGTCTCCAAAAAAGAAAAAAAACAGTAAATATTGAAGATAAAGAGATGAAATGTTCAAAGAAAATAAAATATACTTTGCTAGATAAACAAAGAAATGTATAAATATAAAAGTTATTAAATATAATTTATTTAAATGATTGTATACAACTATAGAAACAAGAATGAAAAAAAAATTAGGAAGAATGGAGCACAATACGCTACATAAAGAATTGTTGCAGTACAACCCAACAGGAAGAATTAGTGTAAGAAGACCACGCAGAAGATAGTTTGATATATGAAGACGGAAAAGGGAGCTAATTCAAGAAGTGCAGAAGAAGTATCGTGTATCAAAATGAGGTCTCGCAGAGGATAATAATAAAATAAAATTCTACTTAATAGTTTATATTGGCGTACTTGAAGTATTAAATATTTAAAATATAGTATTTGCCAAATGGAAGCATATTGTAACATGCATGTAGTGACGTGCTATATTTATAAAACGAACTGTTGCGTTTGCCCGCCGAAATTAAATACAAAATGAAAAAGGTTACTTCTGTTTTATAGTTTTGCAAAATATAAAAGCAATCAATAGATAAAGCCGTTCACAGAAGCATGTTTATCCTATATTAAATAATGTGATAAACGCAAACAGTTTTCCTTTCAGTGAAATTGGTTACAAGTGGACTTAGAACACGTGAGGTAAAATATTGTAGTAAAGTGTATTTTTTTTCAACATCACAGACCATAATTGTTACTATCTTACAAGTAATCATATTTAATTCATTAATAATAACATTTTTCTGTAGTACCCTACACGATGTATCTAAACTTGCATGAAAATGTAACAAGTACTCTAAATTCAGCAATATCTCAATAATTTAGCGATTAAAGCTCTCCCCTGTCAAAGAGTGTTTGAATTCCAACCAACGGCAATGCAGATCATGAACACCACGACCAGCGCTCTGATCCCCCGAAATATACTAGACCCTCTAACAAGGCTAACTAAACCTCTCAATTCTGCCACCGATGGAAACAAAACTCGTTGATTTGGACAGCGCGCCATCTGCAAAAAGCGAAAAGCGGCCGCTGTTGCGCGCGAGCTGCGCGTAAACGCCTGTGTCAATCCGCCAGAAGAGGCAATCCGGGCAGGGCTGTTGCGCGCTTCGCGTCACTCCGCCGCCGAAATGACTTCCATCCGCTGAGCGATTGGAGCAGCTGATGGGGCGGCGCGCGCCCAAATCCGCGCTAATCACAAACCACGCCGCCGCCGCCCATCGGCTGACGGCGATGCCGGACGGAAGAGGCGAAGTGGGTGGCGAGGGAGAGGGATCGGAATGACGGCGGACGACGTGGTGAAACTGAGGCGGAGAGGGTGCTGGCGGTGATCGCAATGATGGAGGTGGAAATGGTGACAGTGGAGGAGACGATGGTGTCAGCGAAAGTGGTGATGATGTCAGTGATGACGGAAATGGTGTCAGTGATGACGGAAATGGTGTCAGTGATGACGGAAATGGTGTCAGTGATGACGGAAATGGTGATGGTGACAGGGGAGGCAATGATGGTAAGCGTCTAGCTGGTGAACAAGCTGGTGTCGGCGGAGACGGTGATGGTGTCGGTGATGACGGGAATGCTAACAGAGGAGATGGTGATAGTGACACGGCAGGCTGTGTTTGTGACAGTCGAGGCAGGGATAGAATCAACGGAGGCGGTGATTGTGTCATACGAAATGGTGATGGTGTCAGTGGAGGCGGTGATGGTGGCAGCCGTGGTGGTAATGATGGCAGCGAAGGCGGATGAGGTGGTAGTGGAATCTGTGTTGATAACAGTGGTGTTGATGGCAATAGCGGCGTTGGTGATGGTGTCAGCGAAGGCGGTGTGGAGAAGACAATCGAGGTGGCGGGAGCGGGAGCTATAAAGTCGTGGTGGCTGCTGGATTTTATCGTGGGGTGACGGCAATAGCGCTGACAGAGGTGGCAGCATCGGTGTTGGCGGCGGTAGAGAGGAGTGGGCGGTGGCAGCGATGGGGTGATGGCGGAAGCAGGGTCGGTGCACGAGGGCTGAGGCGTCAGCGAACCTGTGATGAAAGGGGAAGGGGGTGGCGGGGTGGTGCCGGGACAGTGTCGGATTCGTGCGTTATTTTGCAGAATGATTATTTCAAAATTTAAGGTCCCTTTAGCATCTAGGTCTTTGGTTATGGTAACTGTGAAGATGACATGATATGGTAATTATAGGTGGTGAAAGGGCGAACACAAAGACAACCATGTCCGAGGTGGGACTCGAACCCGCAATCCTTCAATCCGAGATCGGTACGACTCCTCTACCTTAACGATTTCGACCATCCGGTCGACTGCAGAATATTTGTTAAAGAATTGGATTATCGGATGTGTTTCAGAAAGAATTGAGATTACAGGAGTGTATATATATATATATATATATATATATATATATATATATATATATATATATATATATATATAAATAAATGTACTTAACGAGGTCGAGCAAAATATATAAAGAATACATACAGACGGCATATTGATGGTTTAATTCACTCATATTGTGTCCAGAGCTCACAGAATCGAGAAAGCCAAGCCCGTGTCAACAGAGGCGTTGGAAGTACGCGGTAGGTACGCGACATCAATGTCCGTGTTTTTAACGCATCAATGTTTATACAAAAACATGGGTGTTTAAACTATGGATTTGTTCAAGCAAATGTTTTTAACACGTGTATATTGTACTCGACGTTTGTATGTTTTCAATGTCGTGATTATGAATAAAGAAGAACAAAATCAGAGTGTTCTAAAATTTAAAATACGAAATAATAACTGACGACACCACTTCCAGTTCACGTGTTCAAACGAAGCAAATGCTGATTAAAAAGTGAATTCATTATGTAGACTCTCTCCTAGGAATAATGACCCTGATTCCCAACACTTGTCCTCGTATTTCTCACGCGGAATGACGGTCAACTCATGTGCAGTTGCCTTAGGGCCTTCCACTTCCTCCTGATGTATTTCTACGGCGAATACAGGAAGCTCTGATTCAACCCTGAAATGAGCTTGAAACAACCCTGAGCGCTCAACGGTCCATGCTTTTGTTAATCGTTCTTCTTATTTTTTTGTTTGCTTTCTCAGTTAAATCTTAAATATAAATTAATAAACACGACTACTTCTAAATTAAATTCTCTCTCGTGCGAACTCACGAATGCTTTTTGTGCATGTATTTAGTATTGTTATATGTCCCGTAAAGAGCAATTGACCTCAGCGCTGTTAAATCCCGGGCTTTCTAGTTGGTCACCCAACCAAAAATTCGCAATAAGTCGAATTCGCTTAACCTTCGTGACCTCACGTAATTAACGAATTCGGCTACCAAATCCGGTTTTATGGTCGCGGCCTTTCAGTAGAACCATCCCAGCATTCGCTTGCATGGCCGAGGGAAACCGCCAAAACCTTGGTCAGGATTGTCGGCACGGGTTTTGAACCCGGGCCTCCCCAATGCGTAGCCAGCGCCCTGCGCGGAGAGTATCCTCGCTCGGTGATATCTTCGAACGGAAATATTGGAAGCTGTTAAATTTCTTTTAAATGTTTAAAAACACCTGTAGTTTTTAGACCACGTTTTATGCACACCATTATTTTAATTTTGAACATACATGTTTTGAAACATCCATTCTCTGTTGTCGATGTCGCATCCCTTGTTCATGGTTGAGGGCGTTCGCTGGAAACTTGGCTGCGGTCGCGGTGATACAACTCAAGCGGCGATCAATTGCGAGGACCCTGTGACGTCACACCAGAAAGGAGGATGCACGCCCCATTCACTCGATGGGCACTCCGCATGCATTTCGTATTGCCCCTGCCGTTCCCTCAAGGCCGATGGCTTTGTTTCCACAGAGAAGCACGCTTCGGCCCTTCGCTGCCCTATGGAAGCGCGCTGACAATTACAGCTCCACGAAAAGGGGCGAGACGCCCTTCACCCAGAAACAACTACTCCGCGGACCCTTTGATATGCTCAACCGCATTCCAATGCACTTACTGCCCTTCAATTGACGCAATCAGTTCTCGGGTCCGCCATAGCCGTTTCATTGCTGATGCTACGAGGCAGCTGAAATCACATGCCAGGAATGGAGACCCAAGTCAACGTGAGTTAATTAACGAAATTGCTCAAAGAAGAGCAAGTCTCAGAATACATCTTATAAACTTTTAGGATATGTAGAAATGTCAAATATTATTATTTGCCACCGAATATGTGGCGAAAAAGTTTATACAATACATGAAGTGTTTGCCCATTATTGTTAGGCAAAAATGCACACGCACTGGTGTACGGTTTTAATGCATTCGAACGTGACATTTTGAACACTAGTACATGTAGAGTTACTTAACAATCGGGGGAAATCCCTACACATATAACATCGCTACATAAAATTTGCGACTACATGTTTACAGGGGAAAATGGATCTTTTTTATTCTAGTACATAGCATAGACGTTGTAACATTACTTCTGGGATACTCGATACATTAAATTTTATACCAGCTGTATAGAAATAAAAACACAAGTAGGCCCATAGTAAATACATATTTTCAAATGTAATTTGTACAATAATTCTGTGTATAATAGCCAGAAAATGAGATAGTTTGTGCAATAAACATGTTTTCTAAAGATATACGCATGACTTGAAACTTCATTTTGCAGAAAACGTATTGGACATTTTTCAAACGTATTATCTGAGTCAATATTCGTGTATGATCCACACCGCATTTCATTACATTTTCATCTAGCTCGTACCCCATAAAATATTCTCAGTGCATTTTGCAACCGAGGTGCAGCGGAGTAATCCGGCGAGGGTCGCCGAACCTCGCCCTCGATGGCCCTCTTGCTCCGAAGCTTCAACAGTGTTGCCAGGTGCTCTTAAGCATTTCCCAGTAGTTAGCGCTGCAAAAGCCACCAAAACTTTAAAAAACACCAAATTAAAAAAATATATGTTGAAAATTAAAGAGGGGGAATGGAAATCAAAGAAATATTAATTTTATATCAAGATATTGTTTATGATAACTATTAATATAAAACTGTATATGTATTAAAACATTACATAAATATTATTTTAAAGAGTTTCATTGTGTGTACGAGTTACAAAAAAATAGTACATCTTCGTAAAACCTTTCCTTCAAGCGAAATCGTCGTTTATATTACTTGTTTATTGCTATGATTCTTTCTTTTCATCAAATATGTTATCCTTTTTTACCAATATTTATTTGTGAATATAAACCGACTATTTTAAACTACGGAACTCATTCAAACAAATATTAAAAAATAACATTTTTTTAATCCCTCAACAAAAACTCCCAACAAAATCCGACAAATAAATTTCCCCCTTAAAACACCGACTAGAGTCAAAAAAATCTACACTAGAACGACAAAACCGACGTTGGCAACCCTGGGCTTCGCGCGCCCGCCCAGCCGCTCCGCGCACCGCACCTCGAGGGCGAAGCGCGTCGGATCAGGCGATGAGAGCGCCGCGGCTGCACTCGAGGCACCGCAGCAGATTTCTCACAGGACGCACGCGATCCTCACACGCTGCCCAGCCGCCTTCGCCCCTCTCGCCGTTTCTGCTGCCCTGGGAGACCCCAACCCCACCTCCTTTACCTCCCTCGTCCCCCACGCCGCCTTCCCGCTCCCGGCCCCACTACCCCCTGCTACCAGCACAGACCTCCAACCGCTCTATTATGTGTTCATCGTTTTAGCAGTATCATACTGACACCATTCTAGTACCCTGGGAATACCAATCAGGGAGAAAGACCCCAGAATAAAATGCAATATAACTCAAGGGAAAGCCGCGGCGTATATACATTTTTCAAAGCGATTGCATAGGATGACGGACTTCAATTGTATTGTATACGACAAGCTTTTAAAGATAAAATTATCATTTATGTGTTCAAAGGTAATAATACTAAAATATATTAGCGTTGAAACTATTTTTCTAAATACATTTGCACAAAAAACTACGCCAGGAACCGTCCTTGAAGCCCTGCTTATCGATTTGTTTTTTGTTAAATTATTTCAACTCAACTAAAGTTAGATCGAATGAATTGACGCTTATGACATTCCATCTATTGCCACAACATCAATAACCGCAACAATCTTAGCATTTGGGTAAAATGCACTTGAGTCGAAATCTCTAGTTAGTAGTTCATGATAGCATCATAGCATTTAGTATATGATATGGATAATATGGATAATATGGATAATATAGTACACGTTATAGAAATTATGTTAGTATTATTATCTTATTTTTGCTTAAAATGTGGCATGGGACTGTCTAGAGTGGGGACCTGCATGTACCCCATTTACACTTGATCACATCGAAACTACCCTATTCTCAATAATCAATACATCCAAGGCATTTGGAAAAACTTTTGATCAGCACAACTAGTTGAGTATCCTGGCGAAAAGAGATTCATGGCTTATCTACAAGCGTGTTTGTACAGTTTTACAATTACAACTGCCACTTTTTGGAAGATATTCCCCATCGTAAACCAAGCTCAGATTATCAAGACAAAGAACACGTAGTTCGAAACTAGCTAATCGTCAAGATAATACGAATCATCAAGGTAATCGTATTTTTTAGGAAAACTACTAATCATCAAGGTAATCGTATCTTTTAGGAAAACTAATAATCATCAAGGTAATATCTTTGATAACATCAAGCTTTTATTTAACAGAATACACGTCACGTTCTTTAAACATTCGTACAACCTCTCCCCTCATTTTCTCGTTACATTTTCCAATTTATAACGTTCGCCCTCGCACTTAACATGGGAGTCAAGCGAAGAGTCTATTGACCGCACCTGCTATCTGCGCCACCCGGCGCGCCACTTGCGCTGCTCAAGCGCTCTAATCCACCGGGCAACGGCGGCGGCCGCAAACTCGGAGCGGGTGGTAGCGTCGGAACCTCGGTGCAGCGCCGAGTCCCCCTGCGTTGAACCGAACTGAATTTATACCTTATTTTACGTTGGTAGACCCAGGCCATGAGACCTGCTCTTCCGTCTGACCACGCAAATTTCGCCAACTAGCGGAGAAAGAAGATATTTCTTGGGTGACGAAACAGGCGAATTGAATTTAGCTCAGAGGCTTCATTTAGGCTTGAGGATCTTTTACATGCAGTTAATATACTAACATGGGACAGCCGGCTTTACTTCCTCTAAGCAGGGACACGTACGAAGGATTTTTTCGCCCTTACAAATCCACGATCGGGTTTGAAACCGTTAAGTTTGGTAAAAATGTCTGACACGTCCACCGTTACACAAATGCCACCGCAGATAGCGTTACTCTGGCCTCGCTGCCTCTGATCGGCGCCGCAGTTTGTTCCTGCGATATCTCAGCAATTCAAGTACAGAAGTCCCAAGATGAAGCATAGACATACATATATAAAATTCTTTATTTTATTTCATGAACTATATGATTATTTATTTCATCATTGTTTTCAACAGTTTCAGGAATTGATTCCATTTTACAAGAATATTTTAGCAAGTTTAGTAATCAGGTGAAGTACAGAAATCATTCTGTAATCTTTACCCCAATAGAGGGTTTAAAATAGTTATTTCATGGATTAATATTAAAAAAATATATCTCGGCAGAAAATAAATTTATTATTCTAACATGTGAACTGAGAAAACAGAACATAAAATAATTGCATTAGAATTACAAATAACTAATACATTAATACTTATATCGCGCTATTTTATTAAAGTTTTTATTATTCCTCAATGACAGCAGTTTGCATTAATCATCGTATATGTTCATACTTTAAAATTATTTTGTTCTAGGACAAAACAAGTCAACAATATCTTACATTTTAAAAAGAGGTGACACAAAACGTTTAATATAGAGAAGTGACTTTAGGAAGAGACCAGTTTGACAAGTCGGGAAACAAATGAACGTCATGCAGGACGATGACAATGCAAGAGATGGTGATGAACCCATTAACAAATAAGCTAAATGTAAGCGAACGCACTGACAAAATGAGTGCATGAACATAACAGTCATGCTGCTAACAGTGGCCAAGCAGTAGTTGTCAAAGTGTTCGGTTCTAACAAGTAATCACTCTGTAACACACTTTCCTTCATGGCGTCGTTGACTGGGAGGTACTAAGGTTTTTGTTCCAACAGTCACGCATTGGCTCTAGTTAGATAGTGGAATTGTTGATAGAATTCAGCCGCTGCCTTGAGAAGAATTACAGGAGCCGGCTGCTTGGATTGGTTTTCATAGTTTCTTCAGTCAATACCATGTGCATTCTGAAGTAATGTCCTAACAAGCGAGCTACGGACCGCGGGCGATATTTAATTCATCTTCATCTCCTTGCCTTTTCTTAAACACATACTCTTCCATATACTTCACTACCCCACGTGTCGGAAAAACAATACAAAATTAAAGAGAATGTCTCGCCACTGGCGGAGCCTCGCCAATGCGTAGAATTCTGTGAGGGTGAAGTATCACCCCCCCTTCTAAGATAAAACATGCACAGCTTTCAGGAATCTAATAACCTGCAATGTCGACATGCCCGAAATCAATACTCACTCACTAACGTTTCCTTTCGATTTACGTCTAATAACAAAATTGTTTAATACCCCTGGCCTCATTCTTCTTTGCTTCCTACTTCCTCCTGCCAGTATGCACTTCATCACCCTATTACCTGCTGTTTCATACCAATTCTCAGTCACTGCAACACTGCCAGTCTCACACCATTCATTCACTATACCAATTGAATGTTTGGCGCATTTCGCACAACCCCATGGCAAAGGATATTTGCCGACGTTTCCACCGTCATGCTATAGCATTCATGGGATATGAAACGTATACAATGGTGTACCGAAACTGAAACGTCGCTCATTCAGTTTGCTGTTAACACAATATATCAGAAGATATAAATTATATTAACGTTTTACTTTTATCTTCTATAAACATTTCAGAGTGCAGATGTATTTCGTTACGCTTGTACCAATTAATTACATCTCGTAACTAATGGTTTTCAGTCTGATACAGCTCCTATGTACAAGAACTACAAAAACATTTTATATAGTATTTTTTGCAATATTAATTACGCAATGTAGTTTTGTGTAATATTTCACTTTCGTGCAACGCTGGAAGCAATGAATTCAACTGTGCAGAGCAAAAATTTAAGTGGAAGTTCTAAAATAGAAGTGGAAGTTCGCGCATATGTGACAACCTACCTACGAATAACGAAATTAGAAAAATGAAAAGGAGGTTTTGTTGTTGTTGTTGTTGTTGGTTGTTGTTGGTTGTTGTTAGTTGTTAGTTGTTGTTGTTGTTGCTGTTGTTGTTGCTGTTGTTGTTGCTGTTGTTGTTGCTGTTGTTGTTGCTGTTGTTGTTGTTGTTGCTGTTGCTGTTGTTGCTGTTGTTGCTGTTGTTGCTGTTGTTGCTGTTGTTGCTGTTGTTGCTGTTGTTGTTGTCGTTGTTGTTGTTGTCGTTGTCGTTGTTGTTGTTGTTGTTCTTATTATTATTATCATTACTATTATTATTATTATCTTTCTCATTATTATCATAATTATTATTAATATACAAAGAATAGATGCGCAAGTTTTCTTCATAACAGTCGCTAGTTCAGCACCTTTGGCTACATTGCTCCGTATTGCACCC